TGGCCAGCTCAGCCCACCAGGGGGCGGGGCTGGCTGGCATGTGGTGCTGGGGGATTGAACCGTGGTCCCTGTGCTTTGCTAAGCTTGTTCTAAGTAGATGCTTTAGACCACTGAGCCATCTCACCAGCCCCCGAGGCTATGACTTTAAACCTGTGGAGAGCCTCCTGCTTCACATGCCACCATGCCCAGCAGATACAAATATTTAAAGCACTAAACACAAAACCTACTTTAGGGCTGGGGAGATAGCCAGTAGAATAAGTACTTCCCCGGCAAGCGCAAGGGCTTGAGTTCAATTCCTGGTTTCACCAAAAAAAAAAAAAAAAAAAAGGAAACAGTGTTCTCTTGCCTTGAGGTGTTCCCCGCAGCTCACGAGATCACTGTCCCCACTGCCCACAGAAGCCTCTGGCCAGAGACCAGGCAGGAGCAGGCTCCCTGCTGAGGCCCCTCCTTCCCCTCCCCTGCTCCTACTCCAACCTCCCTTTTTCCCACCCCCAGGCCTTTGCCATTGCGGCTTCCTCTGCCCCCAATGTCCCCAGCTCTGGCAGTTATGTTCCTACCCATCCCTCCTGACTCAGGACAAACCCCACCTCTTGCACCATGTGTCTTCTGACCTCTCCACTCTTTCCATCCTTCTGAGCCTCCATAACATCTCCTCGTCCCTTTGTCCTCGCGCTAAACGTTATTTCCTCAGTATAGAATTGGGGGTGGTTATCATTTTACCCTTAGAGGTTGTGATAGCATAACTTAATATTCTAGTGGATTGCAAGCAGGAGCTGCAAATTCCAGTTCGGCCATTTACTGCTGCTTGACCTTGGGGAAGATCACACAACTTCTTTGAACCTCTGTACCCTCATCTGTAAAATGGGAAGTGTCACAGGGCTTCTGTGAATATCTGATGAAATCACTATACAAAGAGCCCAGCTGCAGGGGAACCCCTGGCCAGTGCCATGGCTGTGGTACTACTGCGGCACACGCTGCCTCTGCCCCTCCACAGGCCCGGCACACAGTAGGTATGCTGAGCTGAGCTGAGCTGGTCTTGGAGATGGGGCAGCAGGGTCTCCATAACCCACCCCGGCCAGCCGGGCCTCACCTCTCTGTGTACATCTTCGCCTCGCTGACCAGCCGCCGGAGCCCCACCACCTGCCTCCAGAGGAGCAGCAGGCGGCTGTGCTCGCTATTGAAGTAGGCATTGAAGGACTGGAAGGAAGAGGCACCGAGTGAGGGGCTGGAGGAGGCTGGGCTGCTTCTCCCCCGGCCTCCTAGCTCTGATCATTATGGATGCACTGGCACCTGGGAGGAGGGCTTCCTGCAGCCCCTGGTACATCCTAGCCCCCTGCTCCACTGGCCCAGGGTGCTGGCTTTCCATGCCTCCTCCGGCTTCGAGACGTGAAGGGGACAGGCAGGATGCTGGGGACCTGTTCTGCATCCCAGCTGCCAAGGGCACCACCATGGACAGGTTGCTTGTCCCCTTCTTTAAATGACGACAGCAAGAGCTTAGGCATAGCTCAGAGCAGAGCCCTTGCCTGCTATGGGTGAAGGTCTGGGTTTGATCCCCAGCACTAAAAAACCAAAATCCCTGCAAATAAATGGTAGTGACAGCACCTACCACATGCTGCACATACGAGGACTAAGAGAAAAGGTGTACAGGGGACGTGGGAATGAAGGCCTGATCTCTCAGCGATGACCTGAGCCCTGCAAGGAGGAGCTCAGGAGGCTGATGCTAGAGCTCCCCCACCCCACCCCAGACTGGAGTCCTCACCCTGCCACAGGGCTCCACCCCCATCTGGCGGCCCCGCCCCATCGGGCGGCCCCGCCCGCACCTCCTCCTCACGCCTCCAAGCTGCCTCCCGCTGCTCCAGCTCCTGCCGGCTGCGTGTCCAGTCGCTGGTCACCTTGCGTATATCCTCGCTGAGAGCCTTGTTGGCCGTGCCCACCTGGTCCAACTGTTCTCGTAGCATGGCGTTCACCTGGGCCAGACTGGCGCTTCTGGGCGGGAAAGGTGGGGCCTGTGGGCACTTGTGATGATCATGGACCAGACCATCCCACCAGCCCTGTGCCCTCCTGGCCGCACCCTCACCTCTGCTGTTCCTCCTCCAGGCGCAAGAGGGCGCTCTCCAGGTCTTGGCTGTGCTCCGTGTCCTGGGCGGGAAGGGGGCTCGTGAGACTTGGCAGGCAGAGCTGAGGGTCACCTGCCTCGCCCAGCACCCACCTTCAGCCGCTGCCGTTCCAGCTCTGTGGATCGTTCCAGCAGCTGCTGCTCTAGCTCTGAGCACTTCGTCTTGTACTGGAGAATCTGGGAATGAGTGGACAGCCTCTGTCAGCCCCAGGGGGCAGGCAGAGACAAAGTCAAGAGAGGGCAGGGGCCTGGAGTGGACCCTGACCTTGGCCTGCAGCCGCTGCACCAGCTGAGCCTGCCGCTGTTGGCCCTCCTGGTAGGCCTGCAGCTTGCGCCGGTAGGAGGCCTGCTCCTCCTGAAGCTGCCTCCGAAGCTCCACGCTCTGCCGAACCAGCCCCCTGGGCTCCTGTGTCTCCAGCTCTCCAGACTCCAGCCGCATCGCCTGCTCCAGCTACAAGGAAGGACCCTAGATGAGAGGCAGGCAAGGGCCTCTGCAGGGAGCACCAGGCTGGGTCCAGAGCCACAGTGCCTTGCAAGCCCAGAAAGGGCTGCTGCAGGCATCCATGGGCACACAGACAGGCATGAATGAAAAAAAAAAAAAAAAAAAAAAAATGGGGGCCGGGGAGATGGCTCAGTAGAATAAGCACGTCCCTGGCCAAGTACAAGGGCCTGAGTTCAATCCCCGGTTCCACCAAAAAAAAAAAAAAAAAGACAGGCTTGGATGAATGTACACCAAGCAAGCGTGGGTGCATGCGTGCCGAGCAGGTGCACCTGGGTAAACTGGAAATGTCCTTAGGACAGCATGCGCCTCTTTTTCAGAACACATACTTAGCCCTGTTGTGGTGCAAGGTAGATCTGTCACCACATCTCCTCACCCCCACTGCCTGCCCAAGGTGAGGTCTGCAAAGCTTGGAGTTTTGTTCCCCCTCATGTCTTACTTTTTTCAGGACTGAGGACTGAGCCCAGGGCCTTCACTCTGACCTACATCTCCATCCCTCTTTATTTTCTATTTTTTATTTTGACACAGGGTCTCATTAAATTTCCCAGGCTAGGCATGAACTTGTGATCCTCCTTCCTCAGCCTCCCAGATTGTTGGAATTACAGTCATGTGCCTCCGTACCTGGCTACCTGCTGTATTTTAGTACCTAAACAGTGGCCACAGAATGGCACCGTTGGCCCTCAGTAAATATTTGGGATCATAAATTAACGACACAAGTACATGTGAACCCATTCAAAATACATACACAGACCTGAGCTTACAGGTGTGCACAGAGGCATTTTCGTGTCCCCAGGGTGACAGAAGTGAGCATATCCACCATATATAGTGCATGGAAATCTGTAATGTCATCCTGCACAGTCCCTCTGCATGCTGGCTCACCACTCGGCTTCCTCACCTCCAACACTGTCCTCCCTCCACCCCCAGACAGCACTTGGCTGCTCCATCCCCAACTCCCCTGGGCAAGGTCCAGCTGTCCCAAATAGCCACACAACCCTCTCAGTCCCCTTTAGGTGACTGCTGATCCCAGGGTCCTCGGCCTCCTTCAGTTGTTAGGAGGAAGGGGGGGGGGAGAGGGCCTCAGTGAGCACATACAGGGCGCCCCCCCTGTGAGCCCCCCAACAACCTCCTCCCCTGGGGGGTACCCAGCCTGCTACTGCCTGGGCTGGGCACTCACATATGGACCTGGGGCCACAGTGGTCACAGGAAACCAATGGGACAGCTTCTCTCACCCACACTAATCCTAGGTCTAGGCCCGCTCAGCAGCAAGGACTGGTAGGGCACGTAGGGCTTCACAAGTTAGGAGAGACCTGGCTGAGGCTGCTGAGGAGGGTGGCAGGTGGGGCCCCGCCTGGGCAAGGGTCAGCATGGAGTCCACTCAAGTTGGAGGTGGGTAGCGTGCACATCGTGCCTGGTGGTGGCCCAGACAGGCACGTGTGTGTCACATATCACACGAGTGTACCTCACTGGCTGCGACTGGGCTGTGGTACGTTCAGCCATCTATCTCGTCTCAGGGCCCTGTGCGTTGTCACACACACTAGGTGCAGAAGGCCAATTTGGTGTCTGGGTCTTGTGTGCACCTTGGGGAGGTGGTGTCTGTGGCTGTGGTCTGTGCTGTGGTGCACGGACGGTGTCCCTCTGTGTTTCCTGAGCCATGAGTTCCTGAGTGCATCTATCTGTGTGTGTCAGAGAGATGTGAGTGACAAGTCAGGGGAGCCTGGGGTGTGGCAGTGACTGTCTTCATGCACTGAGGCGCCCCTGGTGGGCTGATGCTGGCAGTGGGATAGGAGGCAGTGGTTGATGCTGCCCGCGTCACAGGTACCGGGTGGTGACGTGACTGCTCATCCAGGGGGCTCTTCTGTTCCCCATGGGGCTGAGTGGCACCTGCTGTGGGTGTGGGTTATGCTGTGTACTCTCTGAGCATCGAAGTGCATGCCTGTGGCACGTGTGTGTCTCCCTTGGCATCTCAGGCACCTGCGTGTCTGTGTGGAGTCTGCCCGTGCTGTGTACACTCTGCACACCGGTGCAACCTGCGCCATGAGCCTCTGCGACGTGGAGGGGTTCGGTGCTCAAAATCAGAGCCAGGCCCCTCCGAGCCCCACCTCAGCTCCCACTGCAAACTTTGCCCCTCCCAAAGTAAGCCTTCACTGAACTTCCCTTCTGAAGGGAAGGGGGCTGCTACCAAGCTAGAGATGAAAGAAGTTTACTGTCTCCCCTAGCAACTGGGCTTCCTTCCATTCACTGGCTGCCATTCCATTCCCTCGTCCGGGTTGCCATGGACACTGGAGGAGGGGGGGTGCTCTTCTTGGGAGCCAAGGTCACTCCCCGCTTCCTCATCCCAGCTGCTTCACCCTGCTCCTTGGGGATGCTGAGGACCTCTCTGACCCCTGGAAGGTGGCTTTGGGAGCCTCTGCCTGTTTCCCCAAAGGACATACAGTTAACAGGACATCTGTCCGCGTGCTTCTGCCACTACCTCCCTGGGAGGAAGGAGGTTTGTGGGACCAGAATGACCTCGCTGACTGCCCCCAACCCAGGTAAACTTCCATGGCTGCCCCAACCCGGCCTGCCATAAAGCAGGCACAGCCACGGGAGCAGGCCTGGCTGTTTGCTGGCATAGGGACAGGAGCACAGAAGGGAGAGTGTCACATGGCTGCACGGCTCCGGGCCAGGGGTCTCATCCCAGCTCCACCACAGAACTATCATGCCCCCTGCCTGGGCCTCAGTTTCCCCATTTGTAACAAGGCGATGCTGTCTGTGGAGAGGAGCAGCCACAAGGTCACTGGACTGAGCTGTGCTCCATCCAACTCACAGAGGACAGCTGGGATCCCAGCTGCCCCTGCGCGCCGTTCGGCCATGACGGAACTTTCTAGACGAATGCAGCTCCCGGCTGCCGCTGCAGCGTCAGCAGCTGTGCCCCAGCAGAGCCCAGACCAGCCATCTGCCACCTTTCTTCCCCTCCTCTGCTAACCAGGGGCAGTGCTGGCTTCACCGTCACTCAGAAGTTGTCATTTAAAAGACAGCCCCTGAGGTGTGGCACAATGCCAGGGGCCGAAAGAAGAAAGGACCGAACCAGGAGGAGGCTGGCTCAGGGCCTGTCACCACTGACATGTAGCATTCAGGCCAGCCTGCCCACTATGCCCCCTGTGGACCCTGGGAAAAAGAGCTCTGTCCTGTCCCCAAAGCTGGGGGCCACTTAGGCCCCTACCTTCAGCAAGTCCCAACAAGCCAGGGGCTTGTCCAGGCAGACTGCCACCAGGACCAGGCTTACCCACATGCGCCACCCCCATCCCCAGCACACTATGCAGACCTCTGTACAGACATGGCCAGCCCAGGGGGCTGGGCCAACACTGCCCTGCCATTAACTCAGAGGGGACCCTGGGGCTGCCCTTGCCTTACGAGTCCCTTTCCACTTTCCAGGGTCCAGCTGTCCCCTGGGACCTCTAGCCCAAGCAACAAAACTCCAATCCATAGTCCCACGCTGGGAGACAGGAGATCTGGGTTCTTGGTTTTTTGTTTTTGTTTTGTTTGGTATTGGGAATTGAACTCAGGACCCTGCACTTGCCAGTCAGGCCCTGGACCACTGAGCTGTATCCTCAGCTCTAGCTTCTTAACTGGCTGTGCAACCCCAAATATGGTGCTTTTCTCTCTGTTAAATGGGCATCACAATAGTCCTGATCATGCTGTGTAATATATAAAGCACCCCCCATTCCTGGTATACAGTAGGCACTCAATAAACGGTAGCTACTATTATACTACGAACTGCTTTTAACACCTCTCTGCGCACACACCTGTCCCTGTGAAACTCACCAACCTTCAGCCACCACCCATCCCCCAGGGTCACTGGCCCTGAGCCTCATGTTCCAGGGCAGACAGTGCACCAGAAGCACTCTGCACCCCCGGCACCTGCGTACCTCCCACCCTCAGGCCTGGGGTCCCCACCAGCCTGCAGCCTCGGTCCCTAGGGCGCAAGTCTTATCTGGATATGCTTGGTGTCTCTGTCCTCCCGGCCCAGCCCACAGAATGCTGTGGGTGCCAGTGCCAGCCGCCGGCCCAGCCCCCAGCATGGCCTTGACCCTGATGACCATGGAAACGGGGACCCAGGAGAGGCGCAGAGCCTTTGGGCCAGGAGGGGCCTCTAAGGGCCCTGTCCTCTGTGCTGCAAGCCACTTACCTGATCACTGATCAGACAGCAACCCCCAACCCACGGCCACCCCCTACAGAAACCAGCTCCCAGAGTGCCACAGCTCTCCAGAGCCGCAATGTGACCTCAGGCCTGCCTGAAGCCAGGGCCACCTTGGCCCAGGTGGGGCCACCACCACCACCCCGCTGTGCACGCCCAGCCCCCAGCCCGGGAGCACCTACTCTCTCACTGACGGCGGTGTACTTAATGGCCAGCTCATCGTGCTCAGCGCGGCTCTGCGCCAGCAGGTCCTCCACGCGAGACAGCTCCTGCTGCAGCAGCTGGTTCTCCTCCTGCAGCGACAGCAGTGAGGCCATCTCCAGAGCCGGTGCAGGGACTGGCAAGGGAAGAACAGCGGGCACGCGCATGGTTGGCTTCTGCCCGCAGGGCATCAGCGGGGCATCCTCCCCACAGGCACCTCACTCATTCCTCAGGGTGGGTGAAGAACCAGATCCCGGCAGGAAGTGGCTTAGTCTAGAAGTACAGGGAGCATCTCTACCTACCCCACCCAGGACCACAAGACCTGTGTTCATTCTCCTTCCTTCTCTGAGTACTCTCTATCCCTCAGCCTTACTCATCTGCGAAATGGGTAGAACAGCAACTAGACATTGCAAGAAAGCAAGTGAACCTCACTCAAGGCAGGGCTCCAGGAAACTCCTACAGGTGGGGCTCAAGATAGTGTGGGTCAAGTTGCAAGGAAGGGGAAGAGAGCGGAGGAAAACAGCCAAACTAGGCTTCCTGCCTGGACCATCAAACCTCTGCCAAACCCTGGTCTGAGTGGAGCTGCCTCCCCCATAATCACAGGTTCAGCCAGCTCATGCCTCCTGGGAGGGAATGTGGCTTTTGGTGTTCATGTCTCTGCAGCGGGCTGCGTAACTCTTTCCTTCAAGCTGCACCTTACAGGCAAGAAATAAGTCTGGGGAATAAGGTGAGTCCCCCCATCGCAGCTGTGCCTGTGTCCCGGATGTTCAGCAAATGGACTCTACAGTTTCTGTCATCTGGGACTGTGGAGTAGGAGCTGAGAAATGTGGGCGACGGAAGGGGCGGCACCTGGGCTCTTGGGCTGGGTGAGGTTGTGGGTGACAGTCTTCCTGATACAGGCGGGCAGGCAGCTCAGCGGAGAGCCCTGGGCCAGGTCCTGCACGCTCCGACCTTTCTCCAGGCCTGGACTGAGGACACTACTCTCCAGGGTCTGTGAGGAAAGAGAGAGGGGGTCCTCAGGGACTTTGGACCCTGGAAGAGACAGGTGAAGCCCTACAGCCCACAGTGTGGTGCCGGGAGGTCACAGGAAGGCCCCAGAAAGGTACAGCCTGGAAGTTAGAGCTGCAAAGGGGCCCATGGGAGGGGAGCCTTGTGTGTCCCCTGCCCCAGGAAGGAGGCCTCCTGGGGCCAGAGAGGAGAACTGACCCCAAGACCAACTCACAGACCCCAAGAGGGAAGCAGAGTGCTGAGGGCCCTAACCCAGCTCCAACCCTAGATGAGTAAGGATCTAGCCGTGCCAGAAGTCACCGGAGCCCTAAAATCGAAGATTAGGGACCCCCTCTCCCCTCCACAGGGCATTGGGTGAGACAAGAGAGCCACAGCTGTTGAGCCCTAGGTGCCTCCTGCCTTGGGACTTGCAGGAGCCTGCAAGCTGCGGACCCTGCGCACCCTCCCCCGTCCCCCTCTCCCTAAAGATGCACCCACCTCTCACCACTCCTACCAGGACCACTCCCCTGAGCAGGGTGGAAACAGCCCCAGGCCCACCTGGATAACGGTCTCCAGTGCTAGCTGGATCTCCAGCGACCCTGCCAGCCCCAGGTTCATGGATGGAGTGACTGTGGGCCGCCCTTGCCCAGGGAGGGCCCCAAGACCAGCCCAGCAGAAGGGCCCAAGCCAGGCTGCTGTGCTGAGCACCGGGCAGATTAAGCTTAAATCCGGCGTTGCCCCCATGTGACTGTGCAGTGGGTGGAGCCGGCTGGGGGTGGCTGGGGAGCGAGGGGAGGGGGCAGAGGTGAAGGAGAGTAGAGGGGAAGGGAAGAGGGAGGAGGGGGAAAGAAGGGGGCAGGACCTGGAGGTAAGGACCCCAACGCCACCGTCTCTGGGCTGCTGGGTCCTAGAGTTCTCCAGGTCCAGGGGGTCGGATCAGCAGCTGGAGGCGGGAAAGGCCAGAGTCCCAAGCCGGCAGGAGCATCGCCACTGACCCAGAACGGGCTCACATGGTTGCTGCGGGAGCTGAGACGGCGCCTCCCGGCAACAGGTGCAGGGCAAGGGACACAGGCCACGAAAGGCTCAGCTCAGGCCGCCACTGGGTCCCTCCCCCCACTGGCTGGGGCTTAGAGTGGGTCCTTGCCTCTCCAGCCTCTGGGTACCCTGACACTCGCCTCAAGGAGTTATCTGGGATTAAACAAAATACCGTCTGTGCATCGACAGCACGTGAAACCGTGCCAGGGCCACAAAGTGAACCCCTGGCCTCGGGGCGCCCTTGGCTCCACCTCCAGAGCCCCACCTCCACCCCCTAGAGTCCTGCTGAGCTCCCGGACTCCCAGAAATCACGTGCAAACCCCAGTCGCAAAAGCTCTGCTCCAACACCTCCACTGCCAGCCAGTCCTCCAAAATCAGACTGAATTCTACTGGGAAGTGGGTGCTACAGCTTCGGCACCTGGTGTGGTGGAAGGTGGTGAAACTCCCGTTGAAACTGGATCCCCAGTGTAGTAGGGCTGAGGGGGCGGTGAGGCTAGATTAGGGCCCCTGAGGATTAGGTTAGAAGGCGATTGGTTTGGGAGAGATTAATGCCTTTTTCAGGGTAGCAGGTTGGTAGGTTGCTGGAGAGCAAGCCGAGCGCCTCTCTGTCCTGCAGAGCCTGCTTGCCTTCTGCCTTCCTCCATGCTGACACAGCACAAGGGCCTTGCCAGCTGGGGCCGGCCAGCGTTGGCCTTCAGAGCAGTGAGCTCCTTTCCTTCATCAGCTGGCCAGGCTCAGGTATTCTGCTATAGCATCCACCCTAGGCTAGGAAAGCCAGGCACACCTGTAATCCACGCACTCTGGGAGGCTGAGGCAGGAGGATGGCAAATTCAAATCCAGTCTGGGTACCTTAGCAATGTAGTGAGACTGTCTCAAAATTTAAAAAGGCGGTGCGGTGGGGAGAGAGCTCAGTGGTCTAAGCGCCTGCCTGGCAAACACAAGGACTCACATTCAGTCCCTGGTACTGCACACTGTGCCAGCCCCAGAACACTGGGCGTGAGGTGTAGACACCAAAATTGGGTGTGGTGGTGCATGCCTGTAATCCCAGCACTGGGGAGGCTGAGGCAGGAGAATCACTATGAGTCTGAATTGTGTAATGAGACCCTGTAACAAATAAATACGAGATTTAAAAATATTAAAAGGTTAAGAGAGGGGCTGGGGAGATGGCTCAGTGGAATAAGTGCTTCCCTGGCAAGCACAAGGGTCTGAGTTCAATCCCCGGTTCCGCCAAAAAAAAAAAAAAAAGGTTAAGAGAGGGGCCGGGGAGATGGCTCAGTGGTCTAAAGCACCTACTTAGAACAAGCTAAGCTAAGCAAAGCACAGGGACCACAGTTCAATCCCCCAGCACCGCCCCCTGGTGGGCTGAACTGGCCACACACACACACACACACACACACAATAAATAAATAAATAAATAAAATTAAAACTTAAAAAAAAGGTTAAGAGAGCATTAAAGACCCGGCCCATTAAACCTGCCCAACAAGAATCGGCTCTCTCCTGTCTTATCTATCAAGCTGAAGGAAATAACTCCAAGACCTCAGGGACATGAGAGCCACGACATGGGTGGGCGGCTCAGGCCCGGAGTCACCCCCCAGAGGCCATCTGCTAAACACTGAAGGCGCTTCACGAATGCAGAACACCTTCTATTGTGTCTAGCCTCTGGGGCTCAGAGTTTCCTTATCACATCAGCTTGAGTTACCTCATTACTATATGCAGCTAAATAGGGGCAAGTGTTGGTTATTAATGCTGTAATCACTACTATTCATAAGTGCTCCGTAGCTGGTTCTTCCCAGGACCAATCTAGAATCTTGGGCCTGGTTTTACAGCGGTGATGACAAACCTTTTAAGAGCTTTCAGTGATACAAACAGCCTGTTGTGGCACAAGCGCCATAGGTTCACCACCACTGTTCTACACCCTCAGCCATCATTTGTCCAGTAAATACAAAGGAGATACCTTGTGCCTTCACTTCCTGGCTTGGCCCACCTGGCCAACCAGCAGGAGGCCTGGCCAGCCCACAAGCTGGCCCACGGGTGCAGCCTATACCAGTTGTTCTTTCCCATTCTCTAGCCTCAGTTTACAAGAATATTGACCCAACCGTGAGCCAGGGCCTGGGCCCGAAATGTTACTTCTGTACCTTATCTGGTTTAGCTTTGTTGGCAGCCCCAGAACACAAAACTGTTTTGTCGGGACTGGTGAGATGGCTCAGTGGTCTAAAGCACCTACTTAGAACAAGCTTAGCAAAGCACAGGGACCGCGGCTCAATCCCCCAGCACCACATGCCAGCCCGCCCCATCCCCTGGTGGGCTGAGCTGG